CTGGGCGCAAGAACCGCACGCCGCCCCCTCATAGCACCTGTACGTCCCAGATCTGCGTGGGTCTTTCCTCAGCCACGTCCCAAATGATGGCGTGGTCCCGGTCATAGGATCGGCCACCTGCGGAGCGAGGGGAGGGTTTCAGGAGGGCAGGCCCCGCTCCTGATGGCGGTGAAGGGGTGGGTGCTCCATCTCACGGCCAAACACCCCGTTTTGGGGGGTCCCTGAGAAAGCAGCCCCTGTGCCGGCGCCAAGGCCTCACCCTTTATATCAAGGATCATGTCCTCGAACATCTGGCTGTGGATCCGTCCCTGAGAATCGACGCTCCAGGTCTGACGCGGCATCCGGGTCTCAGACCACAGCACAGCCTTCGCGCCCTTCCCGGCTGGCCCGATGACCTGCAGGCTCATGTTGGGGGCCACCTGCAAGGCGCAGCGGTGGCCGGGTCAGCCCGCTCCTCTCCATCGCCTCCGCCCGGCTCAAAGGCTTGGAGCTGGGAGGGGTTTCCCTGTAAATGCAGCTGGTTCTGGAGTGGGACATGGAAAACCTCTCAGTGAGAAGTGAGGATGATTAGGGTGATGAAAACCCCTCAGGGGAGGCAGAGATGCCTTCACATCTCCAGAGGAGACCTGGGGAGGAGAGAATCAACTGATCTGTGGGGACAAGGCTGAGGTCAGATGCTGGGAAAAGCTGTTATAAACCCTAAAAGATCGCTGTGGGGTGGGGAGTACCCCGGCAGGAGTCCTGCCAGGGGCTCCCCTGGTCCCCTCCGCGGTGCTGGCTGTCACACGTGAGCCCTGACCTGGTTTTTCATCAGCCCGTCCTCATAGTACCAGACGGAGCTGCTCTGCTCGCTGAGGCTGGAGACCACCACACGTCCTGCTTTCATGTCTTCCACGTCGTCGGGGACGGAGAGGTAGAGCTCCAGCTCCCTGCTCCTGATGCGGAAATAGATCCGTCTCTGGAAAAGAGAGAAACCTTTTTCGCACCGAAAAGCCCTGCTGCCTGCACCTCCGGCCCCACACGCCGCGGCTGGCCGAGGAAGGACCTCACCCAGCTTGTGGCTTTGGGAAGGGAGGACCCTGGTCCCCTGGGGCAGCTGCCTGGAGGGTCCTCCTCATCCCCCCGG